CTCTCAGGTTCAAGCGATTCTCCTGCCTCAGCTTCCCAAGTAGCTGGGCCTACAGGCATGCACCACCATGCCCAGCTAATGTTTGTATTTTTTTAGTAGAAATAGGGGTTCACTATATGTTGGCCAGGCTGGTCTAGAACTCCTGACGTTAGGCGATCCACCTGCCTCAGTCTCCCAAAGTGCTGAGATTACAGGTGTGAGCCACCACACATGGCCTCAAATCTCACCTTGAATTGTACCAGGTGGAGATAATTGAATCATGGGGGCAACTGCCCCATACTGTTCTTGTGGTGGTGGTAGTGAGTAAGTCTAATGAGGTCTGATGGTTGTATAAATGAGAGTTCTCCTGCACAAGCTCTTTTGCCTGCTACCATGTAAGATGTGACTTTGCTCCTCATTTGCCTTTAGCTGTGATTGTGAGGTCTCCCCAGCCATGTGGATTGGTGAGTCAATTAAATCTCTTTCCTTTATAAATTGCCCAGTCTCAGGTAAGTCTTTATTAGCAGTATGAGTACAGACTAACACAGCTTCTCTCTTCTTTATCACAAAGCCGATAGGCGAGGTCTCGTGGCTCGGGCCTGTACTCCCAATACTTTGGGAGGCCAAGGCAGGAGGATTACTTGAGTACAGGAATTCAAGACCAGACTGGGTAATATAGTGAAGCCCAATTTCTACAAAAAAAAACAATTAGCCAGGTGTGCTGGTGCACAACTGTAGTCCCAGCTACTTGGGGCAGGGACTACTCAGAGAGGCTGAGGCAGGAGGACCATTTGAACCCTAGAGGTCGAGGCTGTAGTGAGCTATAATGGCACCATTGCACTCCATCCTGGGTGACAGAGCAAGACCCTGTGATATGGTTTGGCTCTGTGACCCCACCCAAGTCTCATCTCCAGTCATAATCCCCAGGTGTTGATGGAGGACCCTGGTGGGAAGTGACTGGATCATGGGGCGGTTTTCCTCATGCAGTTCTTGTGACAGTAAGTCTCATAAGATATGATGGTTTTCTAACAGTTTGACAGTACTTCCTTCACACACATACTCTCTCTCCTGCTGCCATGTGAGAAGGTGCAAGTTTGCTTCCCCTTTATCTTCCGCCACGATTGTAAGTTTCCTGAGGCCTCCCCAGCTATGAGGAACTGTGAGTCATTTAAACTTTTTCCTTTTTAAGTTACACAGTCTCGGGTATTTCTTTATATTCGTGTGAAAATGGACTAATACTTAAAAAAAAACATTTATAAAAGCTGAGACTTCTTTCTTCTCTGCAGGTAAGTAATCTGAAACATCTATTAATCCCATCAAAAGTAAGATACGTTTATTTATTACAGAGAGAAAGAGAGAATACATAATAGATTTAAATGGAAGTATCTGCATTGTTCAGAGAGGACAGGCAAAGCCAGGCAAGGGGATGGGATGACGAAGAGAAGGATGGAGAAGTGGAGGCGAGAGAAGGGAAGAAAAGGCATTAATATGGTCTGGCTGTGTCTCCACCCAAATCTCATCTTGAATTGCAGCTCCCATAATTCCCCCATGTTGTGGAGGGACCCAGTGGGAGATAATTGAGCAGTTTCCCCTATGCTGTTCTCATGGTTGATGATTTTATTTAGGTGTTTCCGCTTTCACTTGGTTCTCATTATTTCTTGTCTGCCATCATGCAAGACATGGCTTTCACCTTCCACCATGACTTTGAGGCCTCTCCAGCCACACAGAACTGTGAGTCCACTAAGCTTATTTTTACTTTATAAATTACCCAGTCTCAGGTATGTCTTTATCAGCAGCGTGAAAATGGACCAATATAGGAACTAATCAAAACTAATTTCTTTCTCTTTACCAGGGAGCATGACTCTTCAATATGAAGGTAGACTGGGGCCCAGTTAAGAACATCTAGATAACTGGGGCAACATCACAGATGCCTGGCAGAACCATGCTGGGTTGAGGAGCTCATGTTTACACTCACTGTCCTGGATGAAAAACCCAGGAGAGCCTTGAAAGGCACTGGCTGGATTTGAGCATCAGACTGTGAGCTCTTCAAAGAGAAGGTGATGCTTCATTCATCTGTGTGTCCCCAGTCTGGCTGTCTGCTACCTGCCTGAATGTATGCATGAGCTGTAGCATACATCAAAACTGTTTACTCTGAAAACTGACCACTTTGACTAAAATATCTATTTATTTTAGCTGTGTAATTTATTTGAATATAAGTAGAAATCTAGGGGCTGAGAGGGACCCATCCATAGTATGTGAATTTAAAAATGCTACATGGGGCATCCCCTGACCCCCAAATCCTCCACAGCCACTTCTCTGGTCCATCATGATCCCCCAAACTCTCCCTCCAGGTCACTCCTTCAAGACAAGGATCCATGAGAATGTATTTCAAAAGGAAAAGGTAAGAATGACAGAGAACAGCTATACGTCAAATGCTCCATTGTCAAACTGCATTCTCACAATGGTTCTAAAGTGTACTGTCTCTATTTGCCAAATTAACAAATTGAGAGAACTGGAGTAACTTGCTTACTTTCACAGAAGTACTTAGCCAATTTACTTTGGAACCCAAATCCACCTGCACTAAAGCTTCCCTCTTCTCCTCCACCAGGGAAGAGCCACCCATTAGATGCCTTAGTTAGATGATGGTTGAATGATGATAGTGGCTCCTTGCAAGACCATGAGAATGAGAACAAAAGAAAAGAGCATTTCCATGGGTGCCAAGTCTGGCACATTCTAGCACAGGATGCATCACAGGAAGGTGGGTATAAGTGAGAGGCTCCTAGCAGCTCCAAGGGTGGAGGGAGAGCCTAAAACAAGACACAGAGATCACTGGGCATAAATATTATTCGAAATCATGCTTCTATTTTATTCATATTTTATTTATTTTATTTTTGAGATGGAGTCTCACTCTGTCTCCAGGCTGGAGTGCAGTGGCTTGATCTAAGCTCACTGCAACCTCCGACTCCCGGGTTCAAGTGATTCTCCTGCCTCAGCCTCCCAAGTAGCTGGGACTACAGGCATACACCATCATGCCTGGCTAATTTTTGTATTTTTAGTAGAGATGGGGTTTCACCATGTTGGCCAGGATGGTCTTGATCTCCTGACCCAGTCATCTGCCCCCCTCAGCCTCCCAAAGTGCTGGGATTACAGGCGTGAGTCACCACATCCAGCCTATCTTATTTTATTTTATTTGAGATGGAATCTCGCCATGTTGCACAGGCTGGTCTTGAACTCCTAGGCTCAAGCAATCTTCCCACCTTGGCCTCCCAAAGTGCTGGGATTATGGGCTTGAGCCACTGTGCCTGGTCCAAGCTCATGCTTCCAGAAGGACGATTGCAGCATGGATTTCTCTAGATCAGTGCTTTTCAAAGTAAGACTCCCAGACCAGCAGCATCATCACCATCTGGTACTTGCTAGAAATGCAGATTCTCAGGCCTGCTCCTGACCTAGTAAATCACTCTAGGGTAGGCCTCACCAATCTGTGTTGAGCAAGCCCCCCAGGTCACTCTAATGCTCACTCGAGTTTGAGAACAGCTGGTTTAGATCCAGGTCCTCTTATGACTGCATCAGGATGGACTGGAGTCTGCTGCTAAGGCCACATAAGCAAGCTAACCTACACAGGCTGATAAGGGAACCCTGCCTCTCTCCATGGCACAGATAGCAGATTAATTTTCCGGGGTCTGCAGCTGCCTTAAATCTTCCTTGGAACAAGGCAGGGTATAAACACATAAATAATGGTGTGTGCTTCCCTGTCATGATGGACCTCACTATAAATCATAAGCTATAAAATGCAACTGGTGGAGAGAAGGCGTTGTGCCAGCTTCTCACATTCCGGTTGAGGGAAAAATGAAGGCCACTGGTATCACCCCTCCCACGCCCTCACCACCAGCTACTCAATGGTACCATGAAGACCCAGGGGAGCAAGAGACAGAGCCCAGAGCACCAGAAGGGCTAAATGTTGTGTGTTTTCTTTTTATAAAGAGACAGGATCTGCTGCCCAGGCTGGAGTGCAGTGGTGTGATCATAGCTCACTGCAGCCTCAAACTCCTGGGCTCAAGAGATCCTCCTGCCTCAGCCTCCCAAAGTACTGGGAGTACAGGCAAATGCCATCTTGCCTGGCTAATTTGTTTATATTTTGTAGAGACGAGGTCTTGCCATGTTGCCCAGGCCTCAAAGGACCCTTCCGTCCTTGCCTGGCTAATTTGTTTATATTGTATAGAGATGGGGTCTTGCTATGTTGCCCAGGCTGATCTCAAACTCTTGGCCTCAAGGTATCCTCCTGCCTCAGCCTCCCAAAGTACTGTGAGTACAGGCACACGCCACCTCACCTGGCTCATTTGTTTATATTCTGTAGAGATGCGGTTTTGCTATGTTGCCCAGGCTGGTCTCAAACTCCTGGCCTCAAGAGATCCTCCTGCCTCAGCCTCCCAAAGTACTGTGAATATAGGCACATGCCACCTCACCTGGCTAAATCATTTATATTCTGTAGAGATGGGTCTGCTGCCCAGGCTGGAGTGCAGTGGTGTAATCATAGCTCACTGCAGCCTCAAACTCCTGGGCTCAGGAGATCCTCCTGCCTCAGCCTCCCAAAGTACTAGGAGTACATGCCACCTTGCCTGGCTAATTTGTTTATATTTTGTAGCAATGAGGTCTTATTACTATGTTGCCTTTGCCCAGAGAACACCAATTAGTCTTGCTATGCTTCCCAGGCTGGCCTCAAACTTCTGGCCTCAAGGTATCCTCCTGCCTCAGACTCCCAAAGTACCATGAGTCTAGTACACACATCACCTCACCTGGCTAATTTGTTTATATTCTGTAGAGATGGGGCCTTGCTATGTTGCCCAGGCTGGCCTCAAACTCCTGGCCTCAATCCTTCTGCCTCAGCCTCCCAAAGTATTGTGAGTTCAGGCACATGCCACCATGCCTGGCTAATTTGTTTCTGTTTCATAGAGATGGGGTCTTCCTATGTTGCTCAGGCCTCAAGGGACCCTTCTGCCTCAGCCTCCCAAAGTGCCCTTGTCCAGAGAACACCAACTAGTCTTGCTTCACTAGCTAGTGCTGATCCCCGCTGCCTGTGTGTATCCCCACCATACACGACAAACGCTTAAGGGGGTCTCCATAGGGTAAATGCCCCTGATAGGAATAACTTTAGTATATCTTAAGAATAATGCCGTATGGCAGGTGCACCCGAATCTACGTTCAGAGCTGGGGTGAAGAAAGAACTGAAAACAGGCACAGAGATCACTGGGGCATGAATATTGTTCCAGATCATGCTTCTATTTTATTTTTATTGTAGAGATGGAGTCTCAACATGTTGCCCAGGATGGTCTTGGACTCCTGGTCTCAAGCGATCCTTCCACCTTGGCCTCCCAAAGTGCTTGAATTACAGGGTGTGGCCAATGCAGAGATGCATTCCTTATCTATGACGAACATCTGAGCCCCCAGCCATACACAAGGTTGAGGCCATAAATTTGGGGTTAACTGAGGGTTGCCAGGTGGAGGGCATTGAGGGAAAGGTGTTTAGTGAAAATGCTGCATAAGCTAATAAAGAAATCAGCCAGGCAAGGTGGCATGTACTCCCAGTACTTTGGGAGGCTGAGGCAGGAGGATCTCTTGAGCCCAGGAATTTGAGGCTGCTGTGAGTGACAATCACACCACTGCACTCCACTTGGGCAGGAGACCCATTTCTACAGAATATAAACAACAGAGCACGATGTTCGCAAGGTGTTGCAGTTTCCCTGCCCCGCCCTCTGCCACTGTACTCTCTCCCCTGTAGGTAAGCCTCTAGTAAAACCCCATGTCTCATTGGCTGGCACTGGGTCTCTCCTTCAGGCTCTTGATTCTGGGGCCCTCTCTACTGAGGTTAATAGGGATTCGGCACAACAGGCTCACATCATTTGATCTCTCTTCCTTAGAACAATCCCACGTGATAGCTGTTCTTATCCTCTTTTGACAGATGAAGACACAGCTCAGAACAGTTAAGTCACTTACCATGGCAGTTATCTGAGGCCAAAGCCTGTTGATCGTATCAATGTGTGTTTTGTCTGAATCTCCTGATGGTCTCTCAGGTTTATAGGCCTAATTCTGTCCTCCTCTGTAAGAGCGGGGTGTGAATGAGGCATTTCAAGGTGAGAGTCAGGTGTAGGTGTTCAGCTGACCCATCTGAAGCCTCTCATAGTGTGGACCTAGAAACACAGTATCTGCACTACTTGAGAACTTGTTTAAAAGGCAAACCTGGCTGTATGCAGGGGCTCACGCCTGTAATTCCAGCACTTTGGGAGGTTGAGGCGGGTGGATCACTTGAGGCCAGGAGTTCGAGACCAGCCTGACCAACATAGTGAAACCCTGTCTCTACTAAAAATACCAAAAATTAGCTGGGTGTGGTGGTGGGCACCTGTAGTCCCTGCTACTTGGGAGGCTGAAGCAAGAGAATCGCTTGAACCTGGGAGGTGGAGGTTGCAGTGAGCCAAGGTCTCACCAGTGCACTCCAGCCTGGGCGACAGAGCAAATTGCTGTCTCAAAAAAAAAAAAAAAAAAAAAAAAAGGGCAAGCCCTGGGGCCCCACCCAGCCTTGACTAGCCCAGTGGGAATATCGCAGTGGAACTGGGGTTGTGCAACAAGCCCTCCAGACAATCCTGATGCCATTCCCCTTTAAGAAACTCCACTCCAGGTTGTGTTTTAATGAGCAAAGGAGTCCTGTTCTCACTGTGTGGAAGGTGATTTTTGTTCCGAAAGTTCCTTGACAATTTCCCCCAGCAAAGACTGAAAGGCCTTCGCTGCACTGCAGGAAGGTGGGATGCTTGGTCTTGCTCTCTGCTATGAGCCTTCATTAGCTTGCCTGCCCAGACATCCCATAATCTCCACCAAGTCTATCCCTGGGCTCCGCCTTGTCTCTTTGCTCCTTGGGCGCACTGTCTATGGCTTGCTTCTTATCTTGGCTGTTTTTGTTTTGTTTTTTTAAGAGACAGGATCTTGTTGTGTTGCCCAGGTGGAGTGCACTCACACAGTCAGAGCTCACTGCAGCCTCAGACTTCTGGCTCAAGCGATCCTTCTGCCTCAGTCTCCTGAGTAGCTGGGACTACCAGCATGCACCACCACACCCAGCTAATTTTTTAATTTGTTGTAGAGACAGTGTCTCTCACTGTGTTCCCTAGGCTGGTCTCGAACTCCTGGCCTCAAGTGATCCTCCTGCCTCAGCCTCCTGAATCACTGGAATTAGAGGTGTGAGCTACCAGGCCCAGCTCCAAAACTGGGATCTTCATGGGTGGCCAGCTATCTGTGGGGCAATTTTACAACCAGGTCAGTACCTGGACCAGGATGCCATATGGTCCTGGCTTCTCTCACTTCCTGTTCCTGTTACCACTACTATTAGGTCAGTGCAAAAGTAATTGTGAGTTTTGTGATTATTTTTACTACTGCTGCAATTCTACAATATTCCTTTTCTGTCTCAGCCTTCTGAGTAGCTGAGACTACAGGTATGCACTACCACACCCAGCTAATTTTTAATTTTTTTTTTTGGTAGAGATGGGGTCTCACTATGTTGCCCACGCTGGTCTCAAATTCCTTAGTTCATGCAACCTTCCTGCCTCAGCTTCCCAAATTGCCAGGATCATAGGTGTGACCCACCACATCCAGGCTTGACTTGATTCTTCTTGGCATTAACTCTCAACTACTGGACCCTGGATGGGCTTCTGGTGCCTGTCTCCACACTTCTAACTCATCTGCTCTTGTTTCCAGCTTCCAGTTGCTCCTGGATTAAGAACAAACCCATGTTCTTCCTCCTCCACCCAACTTAGCAAAACCCTGTGTGGGAAGTAGAAAAGTTCCTTTTTAAAGTTTCCCTTCTTGTTAAAGAATAAGTGTGGTAATAACTTTGTTGAGCCCTATCCTATGCAGCTGTTAGACATGCCATGCTTACAGGCACATAGCACATTCTGTGTCCTTGTACTTTAACCAAGATATCTGTGCTGGACGTGCTCACAGGCATGTCCCAGCTCTCCATTGCTTTTACCTGTTTGGAAAAGTTTTAAGTTGTTAGCCAACTGGGTTTTAGTTTAGATTGTGAGGTCTGGCTCCAGTCAATGGAGATCAGACACAGCAGTAAGGACGACCCCAAATGCGTAAGGGATAAATTTGTGTATTTTCCTTTGTTCTTTGTACTCTTGTGGCATGATGGCTAGTGAGAGTACCCTTCCTGCAGTCCAGGAAGTAAAACTGCACTGATGAAAGATCCTTTGTCTCAGTGCTGATTTTTCTTTGCAGCACCGAGCATCTGTTTCCAACACCCTGGGAAGGAGGAGAAGTATCACTACCCTGATGGAGACTCTTGTCACAGGTCAGGTCCCTGGAAGGAAGCTCTGAAATGGAGATTTGGGTGCATGGAGTGAGGAAAGCAGACTGATGAGAGGAGACATTGAAAAATGATGCAGTCGGATCAGATGCCCCAGCCGGTTCCTTGGGGAGCTCTGATGCAGAGCTGCTGCAGAGATGTCCTGAATCAGGCAGCAAGGCTGGAGCTTCATGCCCCTCAATGCAAAGTCAGGGGAGGAGGGACATAGGCGGGAAGAGCATCATCCCAGGCAGGCAGCATCCTGCGTCATCTCAACACCCAGGGAGGGACTTGGCTGTGAGCTGCCAACAAGCAACAGTCCACCAGCAGGAGCAAGAAACGCCTTATTATTATTTTTATTATTATCAGAGACAGGGTCTCTAATAATAATAATCCTGTTGCCCAGGTTGGAGTGCAATGGCACCATTATAGCTCACTGCAGCCTCGACCTCCTGGACTTCAAGAATCCTCTCACCTCAGCCTCCTGAGTAGGTGGACCTACAGGTGCATATCACCATGCCTGGTTTATTTATTTTATCAACTTATTGTAGAGATGGGATCTCACAATGTTGCCCAGGCTGGTCTTGAACTGCTGGGCTCAATCTGCCTGCCTGCCTCAGCCTCCCAAAATGCTGGGATTATAGGTGTGACCCATTCCCAGCCTGAGTACCTTGGTCCTGAAGAGAGGGGGTCTCAGGGATGTGTCACAGTGCCCTACACCACTGTGGAACACCCAGAGCTGTCTGTTGTTGCGAGAAGCAATGAACTATGTTTCACTTGGGAAAGTCTCAACCATCTACAAGTCATGAAAATCTGTCACCACAAACGAAGTCAAGACCAGGGAGGAAATATATTATTCATTATTATTATTTTCAGACAGGCTCTTACTCTGTCACCCAGGTTGAAGAACAGTGGTGCGATCTCAGCTCACTGAACCTCTACCTCCTGAATTCAAGTGATCCTCCTGAGTAGCTGGGATTACAGGTGGGCATCACCACACTCAGCTAATCTTTGTAATTTTAGTGGAAACGGGGCTTTGCCATGTTGGCCAAGTTGGTCTCGAACTCCTGACCTCAAGTAATCTGCCTGCCCCAGTCTCCCAAAGTGCTAGGATGATTAGAGGCGTGAGCCACTGTGCCCGGCAGAGGAAATATATTATATGCCCCTTATGTCCAGTAGCTCTATTGAAATTGGTAGCTGGAGCATTATTTGTTCAAATAACATAAAATCTGGGTCAGTAAAATCCCATTTTGCTCCAATCAGGGAAACGTGACAATTAGATTAAGAATTCCTTAAGAGGAGGGCACTGCCTCCTTGTATCTGACTACATAGCCCACATAATTTCTGGTTGACAAAGAAAATATTCATTCATCCAGCCTTCAGACCAGAGGATGGCTAACAATCATATTTTTAAGACGTCAGACCCATGAGAGGTCTGAGGGCACTACAATGATGGCAAATGACAAGGCTATGTCTTAGCTCTCTTGCTTCTTAACTGTAGAGTAAGAGGTGTTTCTTGAGGAGAAAACAGATACAGTGGATATCTTCAAAACCATCTGTACTAAGCTGTAGGAGTGTCTGGGTGAAAGGTGGCCAGGTGATCTCTCAGTGATGCCCCCACAGGTCAAGGACCTGCCGTGAGACACATTCTCAGAATGAAGTCTGAGCCAGGACGGGCAATCAGAAGCTGGGACTGGCACTCCTGGGGTTGAACTGAAAGCAGAGGCCAAGTAAGACCTAAGACTACAAACTAGAAGAGCAAAAATGCCTGACAATGCTTATTGTGGCAGCTCTCACCTGTAATCCCAGCACTTTGGGAAGCCAAGCTGGGAGGACTGCTGGAGCCCAAGAGTTTAAGACTAGCCTGGACAACAAAGCAAAATCCCATCTTTGCAAAAATTAGCTGAGCATGGTGTTGCATGCCTGTGATTTTAGCTATTTGGGAGGCTGAGGCAGGAGGATCATACAAGCCCAGGAGGTTGAGCCTGCAGTGAGCTATGATGATGCCACTGCACTCCAGCCTGAGCAACAGAATAAGACCCTATCTGTAAAAAAAAAAAAAAAAAAAAAAAAACCTTCGCCAGGATGGGCGGCTGATTTCTGCAAAAACGGGATTTTGGGGGGGCGAAACAAGGGGA